GGGGGATTCTCGCGGTACTGCAGACTGAACCAGACTGAACCAGACTAAATTCACGTGGGCTACCCAGACATTTTCCCCATAGAACTCAATACATATTAAAACAGCTCGACCTCAGCTGACAGAGAACCTGACAGAGAACCTGACAGAGAACCTGACAGAGAACCTGACAGAGAACCTACAGCTTTAATAAAGATCGGATTTTGTGGGGATGTTAGTGTCCCTTGTCGTCCTGAACTTTTTTTCTTCTTAAATCCTTCGGTTTTGTTTAAATCCACACTTTACTGCCACAAACTCTGCTCGTCTGGCTCTGGCTCTAACTCCCGCTCTGATGAACTGCTCTGATTGGTCAGAGCCGAGCCCCTCTGTGCACGTGCGTGAGACCCTCTGTGCACGTGCGTGAGACCTGGTGTGAGACCCACACACGCGTGTTTGACGCAATGCATTATGGGAGATCATTTTTGTTTTTTTTTTTTTTGTTTGTTTATTCGGTCATACAAATTATCATTATTTAGACATAAAGGACAATCAAAAGAGGACAAGGTTACAAAAACAATGAATCTTATGTCAGTAATGTACATGCTTTCACATAGATTTACAAACGCAGTTGTGACCGAAGGGATTAGGCTGAAGTATAACTTATTTTTGCCTAATCCAATTCATTAAGTAAAGTCTCCAAAGTATGGGGGAAAAAACCCTTTTAAAATAGAAGCCAAACTAAAAGTCAAGATCAGGAGAACATTTTAATAATAAAAAGAAACAATAGGATGGAAAAATATAAATAATTTGAGAAAACACATTTTAATATTTTAACAACAAAAGCAAACAGCAAAAGGCTGTCATAGAGATGTAGGAGAGCTGCTAGACCTATCATTCTTGGGCTTGGTAATTACTTAAAATATTATGTTTAATATTATTTTTAAACGTCTTCAATGAGTAGGAATTTTTGATTGCGTCGTCTAAGTTGTTCCATAGTCTCACTCCTCTGACCGAGACACATCTGCTTTTTTTGTTAGTTCTTGCCTTATTTATTTTGAAAATCCCTGTTCCTCTGAGATTGTAACTACAATCTCTATGTTCAAACATATTTTGAATATTGGGTGGAAGATTATTGTGCTGAGCCCTGTATACCACAGCCAGTGTACTCACATCAACAATATCATACATTTTTAAAGTTCTTAACTGGATAAAGAGAGGGTTAGTCGGTGCGTAGTAGTGTGTTTTAAACACAATTCGTATAGCCTTCTTTTGAAGTAGAAAAATTGGTTCAATATTTGTTCTATAATTGTTTCCCCATATTTCAGCACCGTAACTCAAATAGGGAAGAATAAGGGAGTTGTATAACAGGTGGCGTGATTTTTGGTTTAAAACATGTCTCAATTTACCCAAAATTCCAACATTTTTTGACAATTTCAATTTAAGATTATATAAATGCTGCTTCCAGCTGAGTTTTCCGTCAACAGTAATTCCTAGGAACTTGTTTGTATCTACTTGTTCTATTTCTTTGCCATTGATCTCCAGTTTAATTTGAGTGTTATTTATTTTATTTCCAAATATTATATATTTTGTTTTTGTCAGGTTCATGGAGAGTTTGTTACGGTCGAACCATCCTTTTAGGATCGTCAGTTCTTGCTGAACTATATCAATGATGTCATGCAGACTGTTTCCAGAGTAGTAGAGGCTGGTATCATCATCCACTGCACAGAACCGGGAGGACCAGACGATGCCCAAATACAGGAGAGTTTCCCATAGATCTTTGAGAGTTTCCCATAGATCTTTGAGAGTTTCCCATAGATCTTTGAGAGTTTCCCATAGATCTTTGAGAGTTTCCCATAGATCTTTGAGAGTTTCCCAAAGATCTTTGAGAGTTTCCCAAAGATCTTTGAGAGTTTCCCATAGATCTTTGAGAGTTTCCCATAGATCTTTGAGAGTTTCCCATAGATCTTTGAGAGTTTCCCAAAGATCTTTGAGAGTTTCCCATAGATTTTTGAGAGTTTCCCATAGATCTTTGAGAGTTTCCCATAGATTTTTGAGAGTTTCCCATAGATCTTTGAGAGTTTCCCATAGATCTTTGAGAGTTTCCCATAGATCTTTGAGAGTTTCCCATAGATCTTTGAGAGTTTCCCATAGATCTTTGAGAGTTTCCCATAGACCTTTGAGAGTTTCTCATAGATCTTTGAGAGTTTCTCATAGATCTTTGAGAGTTTCTCATAGATCTTTGAGAGTTTCCCATAGATCTTTGAGAGTTTCCCAGAGATCTTTGAGAGTTTCCCATAGATCTTTGAGAGTTTCCCATAGATCTTTGAGAGTTTCCCAAAGATCTTTGAGAGTTTCCCATAGATCTTTGAGAGTTTCCCATAGATCTTTGAGAGTTTCCCATAGATTTTTGAAAGTTTCCCATAGATCTTTGAGAGTTTCCCATAGATCTTTGAGAGTTTCCCATAGATCTTTGAGAGTTTCCCATAGATCTTTGAGAGTTTCCCATAGATTTTTGAGAGTTTCCCAAAGATCTTTGAGAGTTTCCCAGAGATCTTTGAGAGTTTCCCATAGATCTTTGAGAGTTTCCCATAGATCTTTGAGAGTTTCCCAAAGATCTTTGAGAGTTTCCCATAGATCTTTGAGAGTTTCCCATAGATCTTTGAGAGTTTCCCATAGATTTTTGAAAGTTTCCCATAGATCTTTGAGAGTTTCCCATAGATCTTTGAGAGTTTCCCATAGATCTTTGAGAGTTTCCCATAGATCTTTGAGAGTTTCCCATAGATCTTTGAGAGTTTCCCATAGATCTTTGAGAGTTTCCCATAGATCTTTGAGAGTTTCCCATAGATCTTTGAGAGTTTCCCATAGATCTTTGAGAGTTTCCCATAGATCTTTGAGAGTTTCCCAAAGATCTTTGAGAGTTTCCCAAAGATCTTTGAGAGTTTCCCATAGACCTTTGAGAGTTTCTCATAGATCTTTGAGAGTTTCTCATAGATCTTTGAGAGTTTCTCATAGATCTTTGAGAGTTTCCCATAGATCTTTGAGAGTTTCCCAAAGATCTTTGAGAGTTTCCCATAGATCTTTAAGAGTTTCTCATAGATCTTTGAGAGTTTCCCATAGATCTTTGAGAGTTTCCCATAGATCTTTGAGAGTTTCCCAAAGATCTTTGAGAGTTTCCCATAGATCTTTGAGAGTTTCCCATAGATCTTTGAGAGTTTCCCATAGATTTTTGAGAGTTTCCCATAGATCTTTGAGAGTTTCCCATAGATCTTTGAGAGTTTCCCATAGATCTTTGAGAGTTTCCCATAGATCTTTGAGAGTTTCCCAGAGATCTTTGAGAGTTTCCCATAGATCTTTGAGAGTTTCCCATAGATCTTTGAGAGTTTCCCAAAGATCTTTGAGAGTTTCCCATAGATCTTTGAGAGTTTCCCATAGATCTTTGAGAGTTTCCCATAGATTTTTGAAAGTTTCCCATAGATCTTTGAGAGTTTCCCATAGATCTTTGAGAGTTTCCCATAGATCTTTGAGAGTTTCCCATAGATCTTTGAGAGTTTCCCATAGATTTTTGAGAGTTTCCCATAGATCTTTGAGAGTTTCCCATAGATCTTTGAGAGTTTCCCATAGATCTTTGAGAGTTTCCCATAGATCTTTGAGAGTTTCCCATAGATCTTTGAGAGTTTCCCATAGATCTTTGAGAGTTTCCCATAGATCTTTGAGAGTTTCCCAAAGATCTTTGAGAGTTTCCCATAGATCTTTGAGAGTTTCCCAAAGATCTTTGAGAGTTTCCCATAGATTTTTGAGAGTTTCCCATAGATTTTTGAGAGTTTCCCATAGATCTTTGAGAGTTTCCCATAGATCTTTGAGAGTTTCCCATAGATCTTTGAGAGTTTCCCATAGATCTTTGAGAGTTTCTCATAGATCTTTGAGAGTTTCTCATAGATCTTTGAGAGTTTCCCATAGATCTTTGAGAGTTTCCCATAGATCTTTGAGAGTTTCCCATAGATCTTTGAGAGTTTCCCATAGATCTTTGAGAGTTTCCCATAGATCTTTGCGAGTTCCAGGCGACTTCTGCTAATCTTTCAGCCCCCATGCCGTCACAAAGCGCCACTGAGCACAACCATTCATTTGAATAGGGCGCCATCTTGGTTCGCCGGGGCTTGGCAGAGGGAGGTCTGCGTGTCTCTGCTTATAGACACACAACCCAGCAATGGATAAAGCGGAAGACAAGATGGATTGAATTTGCTCCAATGTTATAAGGTCATTTTTCCGGGCAAACCCCATATGTTGGATGGATATAGTGTTTTAGAAATGTATATTGTTGATGTGTCTTTGTGATTTAAGATTAATATAGAGAGATCCTTTATTGGTCCCACAGTGTTGTATCACCGGTTACAGAACAGTGGAAATGAGAAGCACACAAGATAAATGAACCATAACTACATATTAAACTTAAATAGAACTCTGCCTTAATGAAAAAGCAAGTCTAAAATCTCTAGCTTTAGCATAATAAAGAAGCTAGTCTAAAATCTCTAGCTTTAGCATAATAAAGAAGCTAGTATAAAATCTCTAGCTTTAGCATAATAAAGAAGCTAGTCTAAAATCTCTAGCTTTAGCATAATAAAGAAGCTAGTATAAAATCTCTAGCTTTAGCATAATAAAGAAGCTAGTCTAAAATCTCTAGCTTTAGCATAATAAAGAAGCTAGTATAAAATCTCTAGCTTTAGCATAATAAAGAAGCTAGTCTAAAATCTCTAGCTTTAGCATAATAAAGAAGCTAGTATAAAATCTCTAGCTTTAGCATAATAAAGAAGCTAGTGTACAATCTTCAACTTTAGCTTGATAAAAAACAAGTATAAAATCCCTAACTGAAGCAGGAGTAAGGTACATTTATTCCTGTTATCGTCTCTCTGTGTCCCTAAACAAACATTTAGATCTGCACAGTCTGTATTTAAAAGAACCTTAAAGCATTACAGGAAGCTTTCTGAAACATGCCGTGTCTTCATCCATAAGCAGAGTGTGGCACGGATTCAAATGTTTGTTATGTTGCGAACGCCTCTTGTTGTTTTCTGCGGAGGAGCCCAGATCTCGCTCACAGCCTCCTGTTTGACTGCTCTCGTTCTGCCTGATTCAATGTGTACGTGTTTGAAGTGTTTGAGGTGCTCTCCCCACAAGCGCCGAGTCTCAGGAGGACGCCACATCCCACTGTAGCCGCCGCACAACCCTGTCTGTCGATCCCCAACCCTAATAGGGCTTATTCCAGGCAGCTTCCTGTGCAAAAACACAACTTTTTCAGAAGGAAATGGTCCCCTCATGTCTCGACTTTGAGAAAATAAATTCTAGCCCAGTTTTAGTGGGTTAGATCCCGTTGGACTAGCCTGGTCTGATCCATCCATATATTCTGGTCAGTTATCGTTTCCTGAATGTGCGTCTGGGTCTGATCCTAGTGGATGTGGTTATCTCGGTTATTTAGAGAGCGGAGAAGGCGGATGTTATAGGGAGGTGTTGTAACGTCAGGAGTTCCCACCGTATTGGCTGGTTGTAGTTTGGCGGCGACTGATAGATAGATAGATAGATATTATTTATTTCAAAACCTGCACAAACATCATCTCAAAAATCAACATAACAGTCAAATATACAGGTGCATGGTTTGAAAAGGAGGTGGATGAAGCAAATGCTTATTGAATTCCAACCCCCTCACACATTCAACACAAAGTACAGTACAAGAACCTTATACATACAGGATCATTCGTAAACAGCTGGAAACTTATACCGTACATAGAATGAACTAATACATGACATGACTACAGAGACAGGACAAAACAAGACAACACACACACACACAACACACCACAGATACACACAACACCTCACAGACACAGGCCCAAACACTCTCTGACCCTACACCCTCACCCCTTTACTTCATGTTGAGGGCATCACTCTCCTTCCTCTTTATATTTTTTTAAAATTTTTTTTAAACAACTGTTTGAAATGAATTATGCTTGAGCAGTTTTTTAATTCATTCGGCAAGTTATTCCAAAGTTTCACTCCCCGCACTGAGATACACATTGACTTTAGAGTAGTTCTAAATGTAGGTAGATATTTAATTTGGTTTCCTCTAAGTTTGTAACTATGACAATCGTGTCTATCGTGGAATAAGTTTTGAACTTTAGGAGGCAGAGAGTTTTGAGATGCCCTGAACATAGTTTGAGCAGTTTTAAGGTTGATCACATCCAGCAGTTTGAGTTCTTCCAACTCTACAAACAGTGGATTAGAATGATGTCTGTAGTGTACACCAGAGACAATCCTAATGGCCTTTTTCTGTAGGGTAATCAAAGGCTTTAGATGGGATGCATAGCAATTTCCCCAAACTTCAACACAATAATATAGATGTGACATTATGAATGAATGATACAGTAGGAGTCGAGCTTTGGTGTACAGTAAATTACATGTTTTGTTCATCATTCCGACACATTTGGCAATACAACTGCGATAGTAAAGGAAGGATAGTAGTTTAATCCGTTCTGGTTCAATCCAAATATCAAGAAACTGAAGCCGGAGCAAGAGGAATGTTTAGTAAATGTCATTGCTGCAAAGATGTTGTGGCTCTACTCCCCACGGGCTCCGTTAGCGGCAAAGGAGATGGCTGAAGCTAGGCTAAATGCTAAAGCTAAGCTAAATGCTAAATGCCTCACTCACTGGGGAGCATTGCACACGTCACAGTAAACTCAGATCCAATCGTTTCAATCTGCAAAAGGAGTTAGCCCCTCCCACCTGTTAACGGAGCTCAATCCAGACCTAAGTTTGAATTGATATGAGTACTATGGTATGGTAAGATTAGGCTACATAGGAGGTACTAGGTCTCTCAGTTTGGGAATGCTTCAGGATTCCCCCGGATGAGCTGGAGGAAGTGTGTGGGAAGTCTGGGTGTCTCTGCTTAGACTGCTGCCAGCGCGACCCAAAGCTAACAGGCTTATTCCAGGCAGCCTCCTGTGCAAATACGCAACTTTTTACAGGAAGGAATCTGTCCCTTTGACTTTGTCTCATGTTTCGACTTTGAGAATGCATATTAATTCTCTGCTCCCGTTTGCAATTACCGCTCGCACCAGTCAACATGAAGAAGCGTAGGATTGTTTTAAAAATATATCGCAGTTTGTCCTGAACTGAAGGCACGGTTTGGTTTCCGTGTTCTTTCACAATAACCATTATACACCTATATATTAAAGGTCATAAAAGGCATTAGTACTTTACTCTTTGACAGCTTTAATACACTTGCTGAGAATGCGGCGTGTGCCATACTTTCCTGACAAATGGCAGTTTTGAATTTGTGTAGACTTGTCATTTAGCCAACAGCTAAATCTCACAAACAGTGATTGATGCATTAGTAACACAGAACAACTGTAATGTGTGAGAAAGACTTTAATTAGTGTGTTAATCTAAACTAGAGCCGTGACATGCTGCTCTGCTCTCTAACGACTGCTTTCCCACAAACATCACACTTTACAGATGTTTACATTTACACTAATCTTCAAGCAAATCTGAAGTGCAACCAATATTTATACAGATTATCCAACGCAGCACTAACTTTAATCTAAAGTGTAACTGAGATTATATTCGTATGCGATAGAGAAGAGAATTATTAAGCTGAAATGTCCCCACTGAAGGACAAATATAGATCCATTCATTCATTTTCATTCTTTATCATCCATTCTGACTTAAAACCAAATTTGCCCCGATCGATTAGTCTTATTTCAAGAACTGTTGCTTTAATTTCGTGTATTTTTTTTTTAAAGCAAGATTATTTCACTTTGTCCCATTGGTAAATCTGGTTTTAAGGCAGACAAAACGTGCTCAAATTCAGAAACATGTCAAATTTTAGCAATTTTGTGCATTTCTTGTACCCATTAACTGTTTGACAGTTTGAGTTTTCCTTCTTCATCTAAATGCCCTTGAGTCAGACACTATACATGCATCTTTCTCCTGCTGCTGCTACACACTGTACATGTGTCCACTGGGATGTAGTCTTCTCCCAACAGACAAATCCTTCCACGCAACGTACGCTTTGCTTATGTAACACACACGCAGTCGAAACCCAATTTTGTGAAGTGCAATATGGATCGGAGCGAATGGAATCCATGTCTGCAGCTGGATTCTGTGGTTCATTTTCACATCATCAGTTATTGCCTGTGATTCTTAATTAAAGATCAATTAAATGGAAAGTACTCTAACTCACCACGGGCTCGCTGCATGTCATTATTTCAAAACAGATGTCTCCATTTCTGTTATTAAAGCAGCCAGGCTTTCACAGGAAGTCGGCACTGAGTACAAATGCAAAATATCTGGGGCTGGTGTGAGCGGACGTACGAAGAACTGGTCAGGACCCGAAAGAATAGACGGGATTCCCTTTTTTCTTACCCATTGTTTTTTACAGTATGAAGGTGCTTTTATGTGACATGAGTTTCAGTATTTTTTTGGTTGATTTTTCTGGAATAATGTGGAAAAAAATGGTTGGATTGAATTTTCTCCACACTCATAATTTTTCCATGCGAGCAAATCCTTTTAGGTTGGATAGAGTTTGTTAAAGTCTATTGTTGACTGATGTGTCTTTGTGATTAAGATTAACATTTAGAGATTCTTTATTTGAGTTTACAAAATTTGTCTATTGTTTAGATTGAACCAAAACTGGACCATATTTTATAGTGATTTTTTAGTTTTTGAATATTTAAAGCTGCACTAACTGACTTTATTTTTGTATTCATTAGTTAAATCCAATCCATGTCCATGCAGTGCATCGGGATAAACGTTGTTTTGAAGAATGAGTAGCGTTGGTTTGTGCTGGCGTGACATTTTATTTTAGATCGAGTTTTGGTGAAAAAGGAAGAGGTTAGCACGGACAGGTCTGTGGTTAGCACAGACAGGTCTGTGGTTAGCACGGACAGGTCTGTGGTTAGCACAGACAGGTCTGTGGTTAGCACGGACAGGTCTGTGGTTAGCACGGACAGGTCTGAGGTTAGCACGGACAGGTCTGTGGTTAGCACGGACAGGTCTGTGGTTAGCACGGACAGGTCTGAGGTTAGCACGGACAGGTCTGTGGTTAGCACGGACAGGTCTGTGGTTAGCACAGACAGGTCTGTGGTTAGCACGGACAGGTCTGAGGTTAGCACAGACAGGTCTGAGGTTAGCACAGACAGGTCTGAGGTTAGCACAGACAGGTCTGAGGTTAGCACGGACAGGTCTGAGGTTAGCACAGACAGGTCTGAGGTTAGCACGGACAGGTCTGAGGTTAGCACGGACAGGTCTGTGGTTAGCACGGACAGGTCTGAGGTTAGCACAGACAGGTCTGAGGTTAGCACGGACAGGTCTGAGGTTAGCACGGACAGGTCTGTGGTTAGCACAGACAGGTCTGAGGTTAGCACGGACAGGTCAGTGGTTAGCACGGACAGGTCTGTGGTTAGCACGGACAGGTCTGAGGTTAGCACAGACAGGTCTGTGGTTAGCACAGACAGGTCTGTGGTTAGCACGGACAGGTCTGAGGTTAGCACGGACAGGTCTGAGGTTAGCACAGACAGGTCTGAGGTTAGCACGGACAGGTCTGTGGTTAGCACGGACAGGTCTGTGGTTAGCACGGACATGTCTGTGGTTAGCACGGACAGGTCTGAGGTTAGCACGGACAGGCTGAGGTTAGCACGGACAGGTCTGTGGTTAGCACGGACATGTCTGTGGTTAGCACGGACAGGTCTGAGGTTAGCACGGACAGGTCTGTGGTTAGCACGGACAGGTCTGAGGTTAGCACGGACAGGTCTGAGGTTAGCACGGACAGGTCTGAGGTTAGCACAGACAGGTCTGAGGTTAGCACAGACAGGTCTGAGGTTAGCACGGACAGGTCTGTGGTTAGCACGGACAGGTCTGTGGTTAGCACGGACATGTCTGTGGTTAGCACGGACAGGTCTGAGGTTAGCACGGACAGGTCTGAGGTTAGCACGGACAGGTCTGAGGTTAGCACGGACAGGTCTGTGGTTAGCACGGACAGGTCTGTGGTTAGCACGGACAGGTCTGAGGTTAGCACGGACAGGTCTGTGGTTAGCACGGACAGGTCTGAGGTTAGCACGGACAGGTCTGTGGTTAGCACGGACAGGTCTGTGGTTAGCACGGACAGGTCTGTGGTTAGCACAGACAGTTGTGGTTAGCACAGACAGGTCTGAGGTTAGCACGGACAGGTCTGAGGTTAGCACAGACAGGTCTGAGGTTAGCACGGACAGGTCTGTGGTTAGCACGGACAGGTCTGAGGTTAGCACGGACAGGTCTGAGGTTAGCACGGACAGGTCTGAGGTTAGCACGGACAGGTCTGAGGTTAGCACAGACAGGTCTGTGGTTAGCACGGACAGGTCTGAGGTTAGCACGGACAGGTCTGAGGTTAGCACGGACAGGTCTGAGGTTAGCACAGACAGGTCTGAGGTTAGCACAGACAGGTCTGAGGTTAGCACGGACAGGTCTGAGGTTAGCACAGACAGGTCTGTGGTTAGCACGGACAGGTCTGTGGTTAGCACGGACAGGTCTGTGGTTAGCACGGACAGGTCTGAGGTTAGCACAGACAGGTCTGTGGTTAGCACGGACAGGTCTGTGGTTAGCACAGACAGGTCTGAGGTTAGCACGGACAGGTCTGAGGTTAGCACGGACAGGTCTGAGGTTAGCACAGACAGGTCTGTGGTTAGCACGGACAGGTCTGAGGTTAGCACGGACAGGTCTGTGGTTAGCACGGACAGGTCTGAGGTTAGCACGGACAGGTCTGAGGTTAGCACGGACAGGTCTGTGGTTAGCACGGACAGGTCTGTGGTTAGCACGGACAGGTCTGAGGTTAGCACGGACAGGTCTGAGGTTAGCACGGACAGGTCTGTGGTTAGCACAGACAGGTCTGAGGTTAGCACGGACAGGTCTGAGGTTAGCACGGACAGGTCTGAGGTTAGCACGGACAGGTCTGTGGTTAGCACGGACAGGTCTGAGGTTAGCACGGACAGGTCTGTGGTTAGCACAGACAGGTCTGAGGTTAGCACGGACAGGTCTGAGGTTAGCACGGACAGGTCTGAGGTTAGCACGGACAGGTCTGAGGTTAGCACGGACAGGTCTGAGGTTAGCACAGACAGGTCTGTGGTTAGCACAGACAGGTCTGAGGTTAGCACAGACAGGTCTGAGGTTAGCACGGACAGGTCTGTGGTTAGCACAGACAGGTCTGAGGTTAGCACGGACAGGTCTGAGGTTAGCACAGACAGGTCTGAGGTTAGCACGGACAGGTCTGAGGTTAGCACGGACAGGTCTGAGGTTAGCACGGACAGGTCTGTGGTTAGCACGGACAGGTCTGAGGTTAGCACGGACAGGTCTGAGGTTAGCACGGACAGGTCTGAGGTTAGCACGGACAGGTCTGTGGTTAGCACGGACAGGTCTGTGGTTAGCACGGACAGGTCTGAGGTTAGCACGGACAGGTCTGAGGTTAGCACAGACAGGTCTGTGGTTAGCACGGACATGTCTGTGGTTAGCACGGACAGGTCTGTGGTTAGCACAGACAGGTCTGTGGTTAGCACAGACAGGTCTGTGGTTAGCACAGACAGGTCTGTGGTTAGCACGGACAGGTCTGTGGTTAGCACAGACAGGTCTGTGGTTAGCACGGACAGGTCTGAGGTTAGCACAGACAGGTCTGAGGTTAGCACGGACAGGTCTGAGGTTAGCACGGACAGGTCTGTGGTGCGAGGATGGCGAGCAGAGAGAGCGAGGCTACCGCTCACATTCGAACATTTCTCAAAGTCAGTTAGTGCAGCTTTAACTATTTAACTTCTAATGATGTGTCGGGTTAAAATGTTAGAAACAATAAAATATGGTTGTTTTTGTGAGAGAATCGATGATGTATAACATGCCATGGTAGCTCATAACCATCAATGCTGCAAGTTAATAAGAATAATTGAAAATCCTTTTAGGGGCCACTAAAAATGTTCGCGTGGGCCGGATTTATCCCCCGAGCCTGAGTTGGACATACCTGTGCTAATGTTGCCGAAAGCAGTGCATTTTGAGAAGTATATTATCATTGGGTCATTGCTCTGCTGCGTTTCTGATTTTGAGGTAATTATTGACGTCGACCTTTTTGCTGCAGCGTCCAACATTAGAGGGTTTTATCGGGCACTTATTTTACCGCGGGTGCTCTTCAGGGTCGGCCCATTAATGCCCCCTCCAATTTTGTGTTATATTTCTGCTCCCTCCTCTAGCCTGGCTGGCTTTTGTCATTTTCAACTATTATTTCTATATTGGGTTTTGCAGCTCGGATGTCTCCAGAAGCAGTTATCTCGTGAACTCATCGATTTGCTTTCTTTTGCCTTGTCGCATTCTGAAGGTGACAGACCCCAAATACATTCCAACATCTTTCGTTATTATTCTATCTACATTTTTTTTCTTTTGACGGGATGAATGGAAGCAAAGCTAAATCCTGCAAATGTCCCAAAAGATCAAGAGTGAGTAAATGACCACTACAAGTCCATGCAGTCCTCAACATGCTATCATCATAAAAACATGTCATTCTTTGCATAGAAAGAGCCCTCTGAGGCACTATTTGACTCTTTGGGTTGAGAGCTGATTGGCTGAGTGAGTGCGGCCCTCTCTTTTTCACGTTTCTGTTTGAAAAAGAGAGACTGTAACTGCTTTGTAGGAACCAAGGCAGACCTGGGCGAGGTGACCCGGACCCTTCTCAGCTCAGTATCATACAAATAATGCAGACATGTAAATTTATACGGGCTACCATGGCCATGACATTTATTCTGTTCTGATTAATGAACCCAACAATAATAACATATCATTTACTCTAGACTAAATGTTCACTCACAAAATCCTGCATATTTTCAGTGTTCAAAAACAAAAAAAATCTCCAAATAGTTAAAATTCAAACACTAAAGTAGGTTTTTGCAGAATTAAATACAAAAACTATGATGGATTACATAGTTCAATAGTTTGGTGGTTTGAAAGGCAGGTACCCCAGGTTTACACGTGACTATTTGCAAATTCAACTTATATTTTTGAGTAAAGTATTTTAAACCCCATAGCTTTAGTTCTCTCATATGATCTTGTAGAACTCGACCATAATTAACCGGATGCACTCTCTCATACATACAGTGCTCTTTGTACTTTCTGCTGAAATTGTTGGAAATATATGAAGTAAATTGTGATCAAAGTGGTGACCTGGGGCTGTAGATTAAAAATAATGCTGCCTGGAAAAAGTGCAGACATCTCCATGGATAAAAGAGACATCTTTCTTCATCCATGGCTCAGTCACAGCTTCCTGCCGCCGTCTGTCACCTCTGGGCCTGTGTAGGGTTAAAGGATGTTTCCCTTAACAGTTTGTGAGATCCTGAGGCCATTCTATTCTACAATGCCTCCATTATAGCGTTTGTTCCGGCGAAAACTAGCATTGCATGTTGATTGTGGTATTACCATTCTGGTTGTGGTTGTTGTCTGGTCTGGCTTCAAAGACCACTGGAGCAGAACGTCCAGAAAAGATAAGGGCTGAATCACAAAACTGGTCTGTTTCCTCTCGTTCACATGGAGCCAGTTCTGACCAAACACCTTTCATTATATTATCAGAACAATTGACATAACATAGCACAAAAGTAAATGTGAGACATGTTAGTGCCATATGGGACTCTGAGGAGCACAGGGACTGGACTCCTGCTGGGACTCTGAGGAGCACAGGGACTGGCCTCCTGCTGGGACTCTGAGGAGCACAGGGACTGGCCTCCTGCTGGGACTCTGAGGAGCACAGGGACTGGCCTCCTGCTGGGACTCTGAGGAGCACAGGGACTGGCCTCCTGCTGGGACTCTGAGGAGCACAGGGACTGGCCTCCTGCTGGGACTCTGAGGAGCACAGGGACTGGACTCCTGCTGGGACTCTGAGGAGCACAGGGACTGGACTCCTGCTGGGACTCTGAGGAGCACAGGGACTGGACTCCTGCTGGGACTCTGAGGAGCACAGGGACTGGACTCCTGCTGGGACTCTGAGGAGCACAGGGACTGGACTCCTGCTGGGACTCTGAGGAGCACAGGGACTGGTCTCCTGTTAGTGCCCAGATTCAGGACTTAACATGGGGAGGCTGCTTTTCAGATTTATGCTATAATCTGGTGCATTCTTCTTTGACAATCTTCAAATCCAGGTTAAAAACAGTTCTGTTTAGCTGTGCTACAACTGAAGGATTTTATCTTTACTCTTTAATGCACTGTGATTATTTATTATTTTAATGCCTTGTGTGACTGTTTCTACTTCCAACTCCCACTGATGACTGCTGTCGTTGTGTCCTTGGGCAAGACACTTAACCCCACTTTGCCTGAAGCCCCCCGCTGAAAGATCTCAGCTCCTGTGGACTCAGCACCTGCAGGAGGATCAGTGAGGGGCTGGTGCTCTGTGACTGCCACCCCCCAACCCAGAAATGGATTAAGGGGAAGAAATGGATGGATGGATGGTTAGTTTGGGCTTTTGAAATTAATAAAATAAAATAATTCAACCCAGGCCTTAAAGCTGCGTTACTTAACTTTATTCATAAATATTACATGCTGTTTGACGCAACAGAAAGAGTCTTGTAACACATTTCTCACTATTTGACACTTTGCCTGAGGCTAAAAAAGATCTAAAGATGTGACACAGGCCAAAAAATGATGCATGGGAAAACTCAAAATGTGATTTAGAAAGTCACTTGACACTATAGAACTACTGTTGTGATATAGAAAAACAATTGAATGGTATTGAACTAGATGGATTGAAGATGGACTAAAATGGTTCCATAGTTTTTGTTATTTAAAAGTTTGTGACCCGCAGTGTTAAGCTATTCCTGCATCAAGCCACATTTCTCTCTAAAAACATAGCATTTACCATTCACCCCATTTACTTACTCAAAAAAAATCTCTGCACCATTTTGGCCTGAGTGGAAAGTCGCTTGAGCGTGAAGGCCACAGAGACCCAGGAGGGGGCTGGCTGTACCACGGGTCCTCTCCCCAGAGCAGGCGAGGTGAACCCAGTCAGAGCTTTCTGACAGCTCCCAGAGAGGTGCCACCGCGTCCTTTTACATAAGCATCGGCCTCTGCTGCGTCTGGTCCTCCCGGGAATCCACTTAAAAATCTACTGAAAAATCAACTTGCTCCAATCCAAGTTCAAACACCTTCGTCCGATGATTTTAATATTTTTCGAGATAAACAACAAACAACTGGAGAGGACTTCCAGGCGCTGAGTTCTGGCTGTTTGTCGTCAGCTGTGTCTAACGGATGCATATTTTGTTGCAAACTATTAATTATGTGTTTTAATCAGTGAAGAAGCTGGCGTGTGATTAAAGCGGTGATCGTGATGGTGTGAATCTTGTTGCCGTTCGCTCCGCCGACCCTGACCTCATGGGGAGAGAGTTGCGTCTCTGCAGGAAACGAACCACTTTGAACAAGAAGCGTTTGAACACAAGACTCACAAACGTCAGCCACGTTCAGTGCATGTGTGTCCTGTTCCTGCTGGGTCCTGCTGGGTCCTGCTGGGTCCTGCTGGGTCCTGCTGCTGCTGCTTATTATTCTATAGGATTATTTCACATACAGGTATTATGCAGTCTAACCACCTTTATTTTAGGTCTGAAGTCGACCAAAGACTGAATACATGCCCCAGTCTATCGATTCATTGACTCAAAAGGGGACTTAAACTGTTCTCGCAACAACATTTGACATAAAATCACACAAATAGATTGCTATTGAATAAAGTAATGTGAATAGAACGAGGATTCCGGCTTTAAATTCAAAGTAAATAACAAAACATAATAAACATAAGAGCAGATCCCTCCCTCATTGTGGGACCACCCGGGGTTTCTGATTTTCCCCCACTGGGATTTTACTTGTTCCTTGCTGATGCAGGAGGGTCTAAGGACAGTGCTGATGATCCAGGACACTGTAAACAGCAGTTCTGGACATCGGTCTCAGCCTCTTTTGGACCAATCGTTTTTTATCGGTGCATTTCTTGTGTTTGAACTGTTTGATTCTCTAATCTTTGTTGACGGTTTCTTAAAGTCCTCTGAGATAAATCTACTGTTGTGATTTAGGGCGATACAAAAACACATTGAATTGAATGGAACTTGCTCCATGGCGTCTGATTTTTAGCTTTTTTCCATAGAAATCCGTGTAAGAAACCGTCAGCTAAACAACTGAAGACGGACAGCCCTCATTTATTCATTTGTATTAAAAAGGCTCGCTGTCTCTGAGCCTCAAAACAAACCTCGTTTCAAACTAGTGCTCAGTTCAATTAAACATTATGACAATGTTTAATTGAAGGTAAACAGCACTTCCGTCAAATGTGTTCTATTCCCAAACCTAGTGGCCTCTTTCTGGGAAGACTTTGCATGTTTTCTGCGTGTTGGTTTTCTCTGTGTGCAGTACAGTACAGCAGATCTCTCTTGGGGCCAGGGCTTTTCTGAAGAAGAAAATGTGAATCCCATTAGGACTTCCCTGGTTAAATAAAGAGGTTAAGAGTTACTCACTTGTTTGTTGTACTAATACCAGCGTATCTCTCCTCTTCCATATTGTCGCTCAGGGAATGTCTTTTGCGTTTTAATATCTCACAGCTGCTGCATTATGTGTCTTGAAAAAAGAAAAGTGCAGGTGTTCGGAGAGAGGACTGTCAGACGGGAGATTTGAAATGACTAAATAAGTACGCAGCTTTTGCATCTGACAGCTCTGTTAGTCCCTTGCCTAATTACTGCTGGTACACTGGAGTTTAGCTGTGTTTTATTCAACTAGAACTCATGCATGTTCCAGGTCTGAACCGCTGTGCTGCGGTCTGTGAGAATAATTAGTCTGGTCATAATGGAATTAACGGACCCCCAACACCCTCTCTCTGTTCTTAATGGCACATGGCACGTATTTAATGTGTGTGTGTCTTATTAGTATTTATTTATTTATTTAGACAAGAGACAAAAGCTTGCATCTTTGTGTCCCTGAACTGTCCAACGTAGCCTGGTCTTACCACACCATGGTACTCATTTCATTCTGTACTACAGTCTGGGTTTGCTCCATTTAGCTCCGTTAACAGGTGGACGATGAAAACGGTTGGATCTGAGTTTACTGTGATGGATGTTCGTGCCCGAGTGAGTGAGCGGTGGCTGAGTGGATAGCACTCTCGCTTCTCAGCATGAATCTGGGTTCGAATCTCGGTCAGAACAGGGCCTTTCTGAGTGTGTGTTTGTGAGTGCGAATGTGGGACAACGGATGCAAATTAGTCCATGGCTACAATCCGGAGAGGTGTGTTCGTTAACAAAGGCAAAAAAAGGCATGTAGCCTAGCTTTAGCCATCCCCTTTGCCACAAACGGAGCCCGTGGGGAGTAGAGGCACAACATCTTTGCAGAAATGAAATTTGCTAAACATTCCTTTTGCTCCGGCTTCAATATCTTGATATTTGGAGCCGAACCCGAAAAGATTACTTTACTCTCGCCATCGCCAAACTACAACCAGCTAATTTGGCGCAAACTCTTGACGTCACCGACACCTCCCTACAACACCCGCCTCCCCCACTCTCTGATTGGTCGGAGGGGATTCAGACGTACATGTAGGAGATGACCATGGACCAGAGTTTACACATGGTAAGACCAGACGTACATGTAGGAGATGACCATGGACCAGAGTTTACACATGGTAAGACCAGACGTACATGTAGGAGATGACCATGGACCAGAGTTTACACATGGTAAGACCAGACGTACATGTAGGAGATGACCATGGACCAGAGTTTACACATGGTAAGACCAGATGTACATGTAGGAGATGACCATGGACCAGAGTTTACACATGGTAAGACAAGACGTACATGTAGGAGATGACCATGGACCAGAGTTGACACATGGTAAGACCAGACGTACATGTAGGAGATGACCATGGACCAGAGTTTACACATGGTACACACAAATCTTTACCTTGGATTAGTGAATCTATCAGAAAACTTATGAAGCAACGTGACCTAGCTTTAAAGCAGGCCATCAAAAGCAAAATTAATATTGATATGACTGTGTATAAAAATCTAAGAAATAGAGTAACTAAAGATATAAGAATCGCTAGAAACGCTTTTTATATTTCCACAATTAATGAGGCCAGAGGAAATCCATCTGCCATGTGGAAAACAATAAACAACATTATAAAACCAAAAGGGAAACCATCACAGATACTTGAACTCAAAATTGATGAAAAGCTCATAAGTGAAAATAAACAGATTGCTCACCATTTCAATAGCTATTTTGTTTCATCAGTTGAAGAATTGACTAACAGCTTCTGCTTAGGTTCCAGGATGGAACCTCGGCATAATGTTAGCTCAATACAGTTTCCATTTTCCCTAGAACAAACTACTGAGTCTGAGGTCATGGCAATTATTGACAAAATAAACAACAGTTACACTAAAGATCTCTTCCAATTTGACACAGCATTTCTGAAACGAAATAAAGAAGTATTGGCAAAACCCCTAACTGATTTGATAAATCTTTCTCTAAAACATGGAGAATATCCAACTGTCTGGAAACAATCGAGGGTAATACCAATTCACAAATCCGGAGACAAAAGTCAGGTTTGCAACTACAGGCCAATAAGTATTCTGCCGGTCTTCTCTAAGGTGCTAGAGAAGACCGTAGCAAACCAGCTAATGTCATTTTTACACCTCAACAACATACTGCACCCTCTGCAATTTGGGTTTCGGCCACAGTACTCAACTGAAACTGCCAATTGTTATTTTATTGAACAACTTAAGTCAGCCATTGACAAAGGCTTGATGGTTGGAGCAGTATTTTTGGACTTAAAAAAGGCATTTGACGTTCTAGACCATGATCTCCTTGTGCTCAAACTATCTGGACTAAACTTTGAAGAACCAGCACTGCAGTGGTTCAAGACATATCTGGAACAGAGACAACAGTGTGTAATAATCAATAACGAAAAGTCATCCTTTTTAACATTAACATCAGGAGTCCCGCAGGGATCAATATTGGGCCCACTTCTCTTTACACTTTACATTAATGACTTACCAAACGCATGCCCAGGAGCAGGTATCCAACTGTATGCAGACGATGCAGTTGTATATGTGAGTGGCAAAACAATTGAAACCATTACTGCACAGCTACAGCACCATCTAGAGGCTGTAGCAGAATGGTTTCAAAATTCTGGTCTTTCTTTAAATGTCAGTAAAACAAAATCTGTCTGTTTTTCATCTAGAACACGTCCCACTGAGAACCTACCCCTAACAATTGACAGGCAACACATTGAGCAAGTGAGAGAATTCAAACATTTAGGCCTAATTCTGGACTCTCACTTGCAATTTGACAGTCACATTAACAAGATTGTAAAAAGGACTAAATCAAGTTTGTATAGTTTCAGACTAATCAGAGATTGTTTACCTTTCAACGCAGCCAATATCTTTCTACACGCCATGATTTTTTCTCAGATAAGTTACTGTATCACCTGCTGGTCCCAGGCCACAGCCTCTTCCATCAAACCAGTAAGAATGCTCTACAACAGAGCCATAAAAATACTGGACAAAAAGCCAATAAGAACACACCATTGCCAGGTGTTGCAGAGACTACATTTTCTTAGTTTTGATAATTTTATTAAATTTTGTAATTGTAAATTATTGTACAAATGTTTGCACAGTCGAGCCCCTGCTGTCCTGAGTGCTCTCTTAGTTCCTCTGAGATCCGTCACACGGGGCTCCTCTAACGGGAATGTGAAAGTGCCCCTCAGGAGAACCACATTTGGACAGTCGGTCTTCTCGGTCCAGGGGGCAAAGCTCTGGAACTCTTTAAGCCCTCAGCTAAAACTGAACTCTAACTGGGCTGGTTTTAAACATGAACTAAAGCGATTTCTTAAAACAAACCAGGTGTGTGAGCATCAATGAGTTGGAGAACATCTGCTTTTATATAATGTGAATTTTATAATGTATAATGTGTTTTAATTGTGTTAAAAGCCCTCCTAGGGACGGACATTGCAAACTAGCCTTGGCTATAAATGTTGTAGTGTTTCACATGTTGATTGTGTTCACTTGTCCCTATCAAATAAATCAATAAATAAAAATAAATGGTAAGACCAGACGTACATGTAGGAGATGACCATGGACCAGAGTTTACACATGGTAAGACCAGATGTACATGTAGGAGATGACCATGGACCAGAGTTTACACATGGTAAGACCAGACGTACATGTAGGAGATGACCATGGACCAGTTTACAGACGAGCAGGAGGTGTGAGAGAGAGGGCTGTGGCGCAGACGTGGCTTCTGTCAATCCTGTGGAGAGCAGAGTAATTGGGACATGAAAAGCAGAGTTTGTGTCGGCTTCACACACGTGCCGGGCGCTCACATCTTCAAACCCCCCATGGTTCATTTTAATCTTGAAGTGCTTACCTTGCATCAGTGCCGTGAGGGCCGGGGATATTGTCCTGCAGCTGGTTCTCACTCCTGCAATCATTCTGCTGCAAACATCAAGAGATTTCTCTGGAGTATCACTTTCAAATCTCTGACAACAGCAACTTATAAATATTTCTCATGATTTTGATGTTTGTTTTTAAAGCCCTGTGGAATTTTTATCATATTCTTAATCAATCTAGTAAGTAGTAGTAAGTAAGCTTTATTTATATACCGCCTTTCACAGACCAGAGTCACAAAGCGGTTTACAATTGTTATTTTTGGGCACTTGTCCTCTTGAGGTGGGAGCGGGGTCGCCGAACAGGAGGCGCATGCCAGAACTATTGTACATATTTTTAGTGGTAGGGGAAACCGGAGTACCCGGAGGAAAACCTACGCAGACACGGGGAGAACACTCCACTCAGAAAGGCACTTGTCCGGCCGGGATTCGAACCCAGGACCTTCTTGCTGAGAGGCGAGAGTGCTATCCACTCAGCCACCGTGCCGCCCATCATTGAACATTTCCAGAGTTTGAACAGTTTGATTCTCTGATCTGTGTTGGTTAATTTGGCGGTCTTGTTAAGTCCTACAGCTATATGAGAATTGAAGTGAATTTTATATTGTTTATGTACATTTGAATGTTTACGACTTAAGCTTGCTAAAAGTTGATTTATTGATTGATTGAACTGTCTTTTTAGTGTACCAGAGAAAGACACTGACGTAGCAGATCTAATAATAACACATTCATAGACAGTGAGGGTCGCTAACATCAAAAACTATCTTAAACAATCTATAACTGCCATAATTTGTGTAGTTCCTCGCTCTCAGTTTGGTTCTTATTGATACAGAGGTCAATAGTATCTCTATCAATCAGCTTTTTCAGACAGAAATGTAAAAAATATAGGGATTTTGACTCAGCCTAAAGTGTGAAGTGGGACTCCGAGGGCCAAATGATACCAAGGTGAAGACAGAATGTTGTGAGCTGTATCTGTATCTGTTAGGTCAGACATGTTATATATTTGGGGGAATTATTGCTGAAATGCCCAGTCAAGAATTAGACAGAATCCATATTTTAATAGAGTTTCTGTGTCTGAGGCAGCCGTATACATGCTTTGCTGTCACTTCTGCTGCGGGAAATCTCATCCAAAGGCAATCACATTTCACGCTGGCCTACATCATAATGGCTTTATTAGCTCACTTTAGCTTCTGATCCAATACGTCTAAGCTGGATCTGGGAGACTGTGGGGTCTCACTGTCTCTCGTTGAGCGGTGGGCGGTCAGCATTATCGCTCCACACAATTCCTGGCGTCATCAGCACTTCCAGTTTGATCTGCGGCACCAGAATAACTTCATTCAAAGACAGTGTTTATTTGTGGAGGACGCGCTCGGCTAAAGACGGTAAAAACACAATATCAATATGCCCGTGGAGCGTAGCACTGTGCATCGACGCTGCCTTCGCAGAGAGAGAGAGAGAGACAGAGAGAGAGGGGGAGATAGACAGGGAGAGAGAGGGGGGGATAGACAGGGAGAGAGAGGGGGGGATAGACAGGGAGAGAGAGGGGGGGATAGACAGGGAGAGAGAGGGGGAGATAGACAGGGAGAGAGAGGGGGAGATAGACAGGGAGAGAGAGGGGGAGATAGACAGGGAGAGAGAGGGGGGGATAGACAGGGAGAGAGAGAGAGAGAGAGAGAGGGGGATAGACAGGGAGAGAGAGAGAGAGAGGGGGGGATAGACAGGGAGAGAGAGAGAGAGAGAGAGGGGGGGATAGACAGGGAGAGAGAGAGAGAGAGAGAGGGGGGGATAGACAGGGAGAGAGAGAGAGGGGGATAGAGAGAGAGAGAGAGAGATCTCCTCATTATGTGGGAGTCCGGCTCGGCCTCTGGTCCGTGGAGATTTCTGAGTGTGTGAGTCTCGAGGCTGTGAACGAGAAACTACGGCAGACAATATTCTGGAACTTTCTGCATAATGTTCTCACTGCCATTGTTCATTATTGGAACGGATCAAAACAAACTTTTCAGACATTGATCAATAGTGAGCCATTGTTGAGAATCTGGATCACTGCGATTTAGGGGTGTAGCGATACTCAATATTCAGCTAACGATACGATACACGATATTCAGCTAACGATACAATACACGATATTCAGCTAACGTTACGATACACGATATTCAGCTAACAATACGATACACGATATTCAGCTAACGATACAATACACGATATTCAGCTAACGTTACGATACACGATATTCAGCTAACGATACGATACATGGTATTCAGCTAACGTTACGATACACGATATTCAGCTAACTATACGATACATGATATTCAGCTAACGTTACGATACACGATATTCAGCTAACGATACAATACACGATATTCAGCTAACGTTACGATACACGATATTCAGCTAACGATACAATACACAATAATCAGCTAACAATACGATACACAATATTCAGCTAACGATACGATACACAATATTCAGCTAACAATACGATACACTATATTCAGCTAACGATACAATACACGATAATCAGCTAACGATACAATACACAATATTCAGCTAACGATACGATACACTATATTCAGCTAACGATACAATACACGATAATCAGCTAACGATACAATACACGATATTCAGCGAACAATACGATGCACGATATTCAGCCAACGATACAATACACGATATTCAGCTAACGATACGATACACGATATTCAGCTAACAATACGATACACGATATTCAGCTAACGATACAATACACGATATTCAGCTAACAATACGATACACGATATTCAGCTAACGATACGATACACGATATTCAGCTAACAATACGATACACGATATTCAGCTAACGATACAATACACGATAATCAGCTAACAATACGATAAATATCACAATATTCAGTCAGCGATAAGATACAATTCCATACATAATTTTCTGAAATATTTCAGTGATTTAAATAAGTTAACTACAACTAAAAACATAAATTACATAATATTTCTGACTGGATAAAGTGTCTATTTCTCACAAATGTTGGACAAGTTTTTTCTAATGAGACAAATGAAAGAAGAGCACGTCTGGAAAACCCTCTATAATAATTACTGCCATTATCTCTAATATTGCCAACAGTATTAAAACAACAATTAGTAAGTAAGTATTGTTTATTTATATAGTGCATTTCACAGACCAAGGTACAGACCCAAATGTTCAGAGTCAGATATTGTTTCAATCCTTCCACACACGGTGATGACAGAAGCGAGTCCAGAACACACTGGACCATCAAAGCCTCTGACCAAACACCATCATTCACTCTCTCATTTACATTCAGACCTATTGTGCATGTTTTTAGTGGTAGGGGAAACCGGAGCACCCGGAGGAAACCTACGCAGACACGGGGAGAACATGCAAACTCCACTCAGAAAGGCCCTGTTCCGACCAGGATTTGGTAAAACATTTAGCTCAGAGGGGAGGTTGACAGAAGTTTGGCAGTCTCTTCTTCTCTTGTTTTCTCTCCAGCAGCAGCATTTTATTCTTCCCGAACACTGCATACAGATGTGTTGTTGCTGCTAGAAAGCGCTTAAGGGTCAGTGTTTGTATATTCATGTCTCCGTCTTGAAGAGATTTTTTTTTTTCGCTGACTTTTGAGTTGAGAAGACGGCGTTAATGGCTTTGTTTTTCCACCGTCCGTCAGGGGAACTTTTGACATCCCACCGTGCGGACCACCCATTCAGCCGCGCACACCCTCATTACAGTCGTCCTGATTATAGCCCGCCTTCGCACCATTCTCCCATTGTTCCTTCGATCGCCGAGATGTCACCAACAAACAAAAGCATCCGTCTGCGGAACGACAGGTGAAAGACACGGCATTGCTTTTAAATTACAATTGTACATTACCTAATTTAACCTATTCTTATCCACATGCTGTACGGCAAAAAGGGGGGCAATATGAGATGATAAAGTGGTTTTTATCTTAATTTGAGCACAATCTGACTTTCCAATGGGTTAAAGTCAAAGTTTTATTTCAAGAACTTTTGCTTTATTTTCTCATTCCAACGGAGACTTTTCAATTCATTTCAATTCAATTAAAGGCATATAGGAGGATTTTCTACTTCCAAGTTGGCCTGGTCGTACCACACCATAGTACAAATTACATTTAGTACTAAGGTCTGGATTTGCTCCATTGACTCCGTGAACAGGTGGGAGGGGTTAACACAGATTGAAACGATTGGATCTGAGTTTACCGTCGCGTAGGTAATGCGCCCTAGTGAGTTGTTAGCATTTAGCCTAGCTTTAGCCATATCCTTTGCCGCTAACAGAGGCTGTGGGGAGTAATCTTTTCCAGAGATTACATTTGCTAAACATTCCTCTTGCTCCGGCGTCAGTTTCTTGACAGAACCAGACCAGAATACTTTACTATTGCATTCTTCGCCAAACAACAACCTTCCCGTTCGACACAAACTCTTGACGTCACCCACATCTAACTACAACACCCGCCTCCCGCGCTCTCTGATTGGTCGGATGGAATTCTACCCTTTAATCCATTTCTGGGTCAGGGGGGTGGCAGTCAGAGATGACTCCCACGACCCATGATGAACCCACGACCTTCTGGCCTTAAAGCCAATGCTCTACCAACTGAGCTACTGTCGCCTGGATGGAATTCAACCGATTGTAATCACAAACACAGACCAGACCCAGACGTTACATGCAGGACATGATGATTGAGCTAAGGCCAGGCTACTTCTAAGTGGATCATCAAGACTATTGGTCCTCCTAATTGTCAATCATTCTGTTATAAGACCAGAGAGTTTTGTTCAAAAAGTGGAGAGGGCGGTTCTTTCCTAAAATTTGGGAAAATCCTCCAATATGCATTTAATTCTTGCATAGCCCTAAATCACAACAGTAGTTATCTCAGAGGGCTTAACAAAATCATTGAAATCGCCAATCAAACAGTTAAAACACAAAAAAATAGAGAACACATTGATATTGGTCCATAGTTGAGTTGACCAATGTCCATAAGTATTGATACGTCTCCATAAATGTCTTGTATTTTATGAAAACTAGA